GTGATCGGAGAAATTACAAACAACAAGCCCTACTCTACACTGCCCAAAAAACTTGCTTTAAATATAAAAAACTTACTTACAGTCCGTGAGTAAGAACAGCCGGCACTGTAGTCTACTCTGCCAGGATCAGGAAACAGTCCTCCATAAATGTGCTGCACACATCTGAATATTTGGGTTGAAGTGTTCTGGAACAGTGTTGTACATACAACTTAACCACTGATTTGTAGTCGTGTCCATTTTTGGAAGGCCAAACAAAGTAGTTTCGCTTTCACAATGAAACACAGCGTCACACATCGCGTTTGAATCATCAGTGGCAAATCCTTTAAATATGAAAACGTACTTACAGGCTTGTGAGTCAGCATTATTTGACAGAACATCAATTGCCGGTGCATTGTAGGCTACTCTCCCAGCAAACAGTCCTTGTCCTCCGTAAAATATCTGAATATTTGGGTTGAACTGTTCTGGAACAGTGTTGTAAATACAACTTAACCACTGATTTCTAGTCGTGTCCTCTTTTGGAAGGCCAAACTTAGTAGTTTCGCTTTCACAACGAAACGGCGTCACATACCGTGGCCTAGAGTGAGCGGAGGCCGGCTAGAGTGAGCAGAGGCGGGGGGGCTTGAGAACGGCGCGGCCGGCGGATTCGACGAAGGAGCGTCCAGAAGGACATGTGACGACTCCGGGCTGGACTCCGCTTCGTCCACGGTGAAAGCCGATCCGGCGATCGACAGTGCGTACTTACGAGTCAGAAGTGTAGTCTACTCTACCAGGATCAGCAAACAGTCCTCCATAAAATGTGCTGCACACATCTGAATATTTGGGTTGAAGTGTTCTGGAACAGTGTTGTAAATACAACTTAACCACTGATTTGTAGTCGTGTCCATTTTTGGAAGGCCAAACAAAGTAGTTTCGCTTTCACAACGAAACACAGCGTCACACATGGTGGCCTAGAGTGAGCGGCAGCACCCCAGAGTGAGCAGAGGCCGGGGGCTAGAGTGACGAACGGCCGGAGGGCTAGTGAGCTGAGGCGGCGGGCTTGAGAACGCCGCCTCAGCTTTCTGGTATTTATTACGATAACGATATCAATGACGATAATTCAGGGAATCCTGTTTCTTTTAAGAAAAGTATTATCTTTCCTATTTTTACTCAACATAGGGTGAGCATTAACCTCCTGAGACCCTGCATCCTCATATGAGGACATTATATTGTACTGAATGAACTACAAAGTAGTTTTGCTTTCACAACGAAACACAGTGCCTTCACGACATGGCGGTGGCACAACAATACTACAGCGAGAATAAAAGTTACGCCTTCTTTCTTTGCGTGAATATTTGCGCGGCGTTATGCAAATCTTCCCACATCGTGAGGTAAAAAATTTAAAGTCTGATGGCACAGAAGTTCTAACACAACTCTCCTCAACTAGCCGTATTATTTGTGGTATTATTGATATCTGAAGCACAAACAGTGTAAGATGAATTACCAGTGCTGGGTAGGTTACTTAAAGGTCCCATGACATGCTGCTTTTTAGATGCTTTTATATAAGCCTAAGTGGTCCCTAGTACTGTATCTGAAGTCTCTTTTCCGAAATTCAGCCTTGGTGCAGAATTTCAGCCACTACGAGCTAGTCCCACAATGAGCTTTCCTTAGGACGTGCCATTTCTGTGTCTATAGCTTTAAATGCTAATGAGGAGGAGAGAGGCGGGGCAACTGCCATGCTTTGCTCGTTAGCAAGCCATGATGTCTCTCGTGGGAAAAAAAAAAAATATGCTCGCCTCGCC